AGGGTTTTTATAAGTGGGCATGTGGGTGTAGCCAATCTACCAATATTCACTTGGTTGGTGTCTTCAGTTGGTGCAGTGGCTGTTGGTGTATTTGGACAGCCTTTGAGGGTCTGGCCTTGGCATGAATCTGACAGAGGAGTAGATCTGTGTAGGAACCTGTGAGTGCTTGTAAACCACTGAAACAGGTTTATATCTTGGTGTTATAGCAAAGCTATAGCTCTGGGTTCAAAGGTGTGAACATTTTTCCAGGGCCTGGTTTCAGCCCAATGAAACACATTTTTACATCTATAACCAGGGGAAACTTACTGAATGAAAGTGGTTGAGTGAGTGAAGGAGGAGGAGGGAGGCTTCCATACCCTCTCTAATGCCAACCTGTTTCTAAAAGCTGGGACCAATAAAATACACAGAAACCTTGGAGTTGGAGGAGAGAGCTGTGAAACTGGCAAACACCATCAGATCTGAAAAGTATATATAAGTGAACAGAAATGAGACAGCTTTCCTATCTTTAGATAAACAAATCTTAAATCTGTTTCTTTTTATCTAATTTTCCAGGAGATACTAAGAGCAGTATTAGCTCTAAGAGAATGAGGCCTTTGAATTTTACATAGAGAACTGGGAAGGCAGCTGAAGCAAAGCCTGGTCATCAAATTGGATCAGAGATCTGAGAAAAATAAATTATACCTAAGTGCAGACCAAGCAACTTCTGAATCTATTGAAAATGACAGGTGTCGATCCATACCCAATTAGCCATACCCAGGTCTCCACATTGTTGGAGGCAGAAGTATCAGAGCAGCATCAATCTTTAGCCACCAGGCCCATAAAGTGAGTTGTGTTTTTTTGTTTTGTTTTGTTTTGTTTTGTTTTGTTTTGTTTTGTTTTGCCATGGAAGAGGGACATAGGGAAGACTGGCCTTACTTTGTGTAGGCAAAAGGGAGGCAATCAGTTCTCCAATGTCCTGCTGCTTGTCCACAGACTGGGCCAGCTCCTGGCAGCACATGTCAAATTGGGGCATCTCACCCAGAGGTCAGCATTGCCATAATCCAGGTGGAGACATCATGGTGCCTCATAATCTTCTTTGGAGACCTTGGGTCACTGCTAGGATCTGGGAGTCTCTGTCTGATATAATAGGCTTTTTTTAATTAACATTTTAAATGTCATATTCTGCAGATCTCTGAACATTTAAGGACTGTCTATTAGGTATGAATGACTATCAACTTGTGTTCCCTAACAGTATTCAATATGTTAGCATCTTTTATAAGACTAGGACTTACTGTCTCCTGTGGAGGCAAAGAAGAGTGGCAAGGGAGGTCAGGGGAACAAAATCAAACGTTATTTAGGCTTAATTTTGAGAGCATATATGGATCTGCTTTTTCAGCAAGGCCATGGAGTTTCTAATGACCCCTAAGCAGTTCACACAAAAACATTGCTCTCTTGAGATCTTTCATAGGTCCCCTGTTAAAGTAATGATAACCAGGGGGATAAACTGAGCAAATTTTAGCTCAAGGTCCCTTCTATGCTGAAGAACTATTTTAGCTAGAGAGGAGAGCGATTCCTCTAAATGTGTAATGGATTTTTCTAGGGAAGTGATATCTGTATCTACTGCCATTTTCAAGGCCCTGTACTTTTGATCTGATCTTTGAGTACAGCCAGATTATAATCCTGAATGATTTATGATTTATATAGAAATAATAATTGTTTAAAGCCATATAATACTTCTTTGGTCCTGTATAAAGAAGGTCAAGTGTCTTATTGTAGAACCATCTTAGTTAAAAAATTCTATCAACTAACATCTCAGGGTCCAGTTTCTTAGTCTATTAATGAGCATTAGGTAGCCATTTTGTCCCCTATGCCAGAGGGTTTCCCTTCAACCTAGTCTTTTATCCTGTTTTGGGAGCAGGGACAATGTACTCTCTCTTCTATAGCTGCTTCAAGCTGAAATAGGACACAGGTGGTCAGAGCACAGGGAGGCTGAGAGGCTAGTCAAAAGTAAGGAAGGAATTTAGGAAATGGGGTATTTATCAGAAGCATGTGGTCATGTGACCTAGCTGTAGAGACAGGGAAAAAAATCACATAGGCTGGTCCCTGGCTCACAGTTTGAAGTTAGCAGCTGATGCCTGGATGTGTCAATCAGCCAAATGGAAACCTGCTGGAACAAGTTTAAACTAGGAACAGAAGTTAGAATTTATGAACTTATTTGGAACTTTTAGTCACAGCCTTAGTAATTGGGAAAGGAAGCTTGAAAACTCAAGCTGTATGGCTGTACTTATCTGGAGTCCTTTTGACCTCTGTGAAGTAGATCCAATGACTTCTTTTGATCCTCTGAGGCTTATATGAATTATTATTTTACAAAAGGACATAAAAGTTTAGATATATTAGTATTACCAATCAGTATTGAAATCCATATATAGAAAAGCAGGTAATGAGTAGCTGTAAAACAGAAAGAGTAGACTCATATTTTTGAGTCTCAGCAAAATTACAGATGTATATTAAAAGTATGTCCATTTTTTGTTTAGAGAGAGCCAGGTAGAGATTGGATGGAGGTGTCTTTGGCTTGATAAGAAGGTTAAGTTAATATTTAGAAGACAACAAAAGAATATCTAAAACTTTGAGCTTGTAATCCAAATAGTATCAGAATTCTGTTAATGTTAGACCCTGAACTTTTGAAATCTTAATATAACAATATTATAGAAGGGGAAAGTAATCTGAAGTATTTAAATCATCAATTTATGTCTTTATAACTGGTATTTATATCCTGGATCATTTTGTGAGACCCTCAAAGTTTGTATGGACTTTAATATCTTAGAACATTTTTATCAAGAGATACCTAATAGCTTTAGAAAAAGTGAGGCTTGACTTTTATATATAAAATGAGCTGACAAGTTGGTCATAGCCTTATAAATTTCAATGTCTTAAAACTTTTTAAGAAAAGGTTTAAAATCTCTCAATTGTCTTTTTGTAATATCAAAAATAAAGTACCCTCTTTTATTTTAAGAGGGAAGAAATGGCATAACCATAATCTAGCTACAACAATATAAACGATCTAAAGTTTGTTATCTGGGATTTTGTTCATAATCCTCTTGGATCACATCTTTGATCCCATCCTTGGCAGCAGATACATAGCCTGCATTCTAGATCTCAGCCTGTTCCATTTTACTGTGGCTTCTGGAGGCTATCACCTGGCAAAACTGTTAAAGTCCACCTGGGTCTAGCTAAGGAGGAGCCATAATCCAACCCTAGAACCAGATTTTCAATGAATAACAGCATAAAACAATTTTAACATTATTTATATCAAAAAGACATTTGAACTTGTGCTAACCCAAATCTAGTAATCATAGCTCAGAGACAAATTCTGAGCAAGCTCTGCCCACCAGCATGGGAGCAGATCCTTGTGACCCAAACAGTCATAAAACAAGTTTCTATGGCCACAGGAGCATGCTGCCCTGTCCACAGGGAACTGCAAGCCTGGTACTGCCATCTTCCCGCAGCTGCCTAGGGCCCCTTCCCTGGTTGGTAAGAACTTTATTGGGCAGGAGGGATGGGTAGAGGCTGAAGCAACAGGCACCCTGCCCATGCTTGAGCCACAGACGGGATGTGGCTTCTCACTGCCCTTACTAAAGGTGGTAGTGGGGCCATATGACCTGTCTGTCTGTGACCTTAGTCACGATGGTGCCCTGACCATGTGATTGCCCTCTGGCATCTGACCTCATGGTCACATGTTTCATTTTTTATTACAAGAAATACAGAACATATATGGAACAAATAAATTTAAGCATTTAAAAGACAGTCAGAAACACATCCATGTGGCCACATCAACCACACATTTCCATCTGTACATAAGAAATAAACTTTTGTAACAGAATGAGGGACAAAACTCCAGGAAACTGTTAGCTGACCAACTTAAAAATCCAGAAATAAGAATTTACAGTATAAAGAATGAGCTATAGGACTGTAGGTATAGACTGAGAGGCAGCAGGATAGGAGAAAGCAAGAAAGAAGCAGAAGATAAGAGAGGCATCCTGACTGGTGGCAACAGAGAAGGCTGGGGGGCGCTATGCTCTGTGCAGCTCACCCCAATGCCATGGGTGGCAGCAGCAGCCAGGAGCTGGGAGGGAAGGAACACAGACAGAACAGGACAAGACATTTTGAGTGAAAGAGTGAAGGAGAGGGTGAGAAGGGAGGTGGCAGAAACTGATGTATAGGGGGTGTGAGGCCAAGACTAACTGTCAGCCATTAGAGATATGGTGATAGGCACATTTTGTACAAGTGAGGTAGAGAAATATGAGATCTAGTGGCTTTAAAATCTTGGGCATCCCAGAGATTGAAGGAAACAAATCCTCACCCTTGGAAAATGGCCAGAAGGGAGGGGGCTTACCAAATATGGAGTGAATGTTGAAGGTTCTCAGGTTCTGAACGATGTTTCAGACTGCCAGAAGACAGAAGAAAGTGCTGGTAGGGTCTGCCGAGTGATGGCACCAATGTTATGATACTACAAGAGAGAGACATTGGCAGGATTGAGACAGGGTACCCCACGGCGGGTAAGAGACAGAGATGCCATGCAGACAGTACTCAGTGGAGACTTCTACTTGGTGGGGGAAAGAGAGAGGGGAGAGGAGAAGAGAGATAGAGAGATGGGGGAAATGAGAGGGGGAGAGAAGAAAGAAGGAATGTGCTACCTCATGGTGAGGGGGCAGAGAGAGAGTGTGAAGGGGGAGGAGTCCTTTCTTAAAGAAATATAGGATGGCATCAAGATACTGGGCAGGCCAGGGCATTATCTGCTTATTGGCCAGGATTCCAGGAGGTGGGTCTGAATGCTACAGTAGCTTCATGCCTAGCTGGCTCCACTGTATCATTGTACAAAACCATCTCTGAGTACTCCATGAGTACCAGTCTCAAGGTATCCATTCATTGAAAGTACCCAGACTGTTCCTGGCCTCGCCACAGCAGGCTGCAGACTTGTGTTTTGGCCAAGTCTAATGTGATCCTCTCTCTTGTTCCCTCAGCGTTCTTCTGGAGGATGGGAAGGCCACAGTGCCCCTTCTGGCAGAGAGACTGACCACGGAGCTCATCTCACACATCTGTGTAAGCCTGGGTGGCTGTGTCTGCATAAACCTGAGCTGGGACTGGGATGATCCTGGGCACATAAACTGGTCAAGATCTCTTTGCACAGACATGTTGTTTGGGAAATTGTAACTTCAGCATCAGAAGGATTTTGCTGGTTCTTGCTGCTGTCACCCTTAGGTTGTGAGGCATGGCTGTGAAGCCGCATTCTGGAGCTGATCTCAAGAGCTTGAGTTCAAACGGGTTCTTCAGATAGAAGCCATGTTCACTTTTCTCTGACTTGGTGGAGTCTGCATCTCAAACCACCTTAGTTCTCTACCTGGAGTGTTGAGAATACTCAGCACATGTGGATTTAGTGTCTAGATCTGCATGAGGACTGGCTGTGGAAAGAAACTCAGCAGTCATCTTCCCCTGGGCTCCTCTTGTGTTCAAGGTCTTCTTTCAGTCCCCAGGATCCAGGTGGAGATCCAGGCATCTGAGGACACCATGATCTTGAGTGACTCCCTCTGAGCCTCCTAGATGCAGACAAAAGCAGGCCTGTTCTTGCTGAGCTCTGTGCCTTGAGATGCCTGGGGACAGCATCTTCCTTGGAAACAAGAATCCTCAGCAGCTTTTGACCTGGTGAAAGAAACACAGAAGTTTAGGTGTCTTGTGCTGTTATAGGAGTCTTGTATTGTTATAACTTCCCCTGTTTCAGAAGCTATTAGAAGGCACTTTGTAGCATTTCCCTGAAGAGAGTTCGTGTCAAAGTTTAAAGAAGGAGATTCCTCTGGGTGGCTCTTTTAGGAGGCAACCATGATCAATGGACAGGGTTACATACCAGATGCAGGCATGGGCAAACCTGTTTATAAAGGGATGCTTCTCAAGTGCTGCTCTGCACCAGGGAAATAATATCAGGACTTCAGAATGCTTCCCACGTGTCATGGTGACTCTGTAGAACAGGCTTGAGGCCTCATTTGCATTCCCAGTCTATATTTCTATGTCCCATTCACCTCTTTCCATTTCAGAAATCTCTGCCTTTGTTAGAAAATCAAATAAAGAAGTGTCACCAGACTGCAAGTGAGGAGCTGCAGAAGTATGGTGCAGACATACCAGAGGATGACAATGAGAAAACTTTCTTCCTGATTGAAGTGAGCATTGTCCATAGTTCTGGGCATGATAACTGCATCACTGTCTACACAGGAATCTCTTTCTGGTGTTCTTCAGATATCATGACTCCAAGGCTGCTTGCTAGAGATGCTTCCTGTCCATTTAGTGTTAAGAAGGGAGTCAGGATAAGGAGTATGGTTGAGTGCAGGGTGGAGCTTGTAGGGGGCATTTTCATTTCATCCATACTGACAGAAGAGTTCTCCCTAAGGATCCCAAAGGAAGAGGAAGAAGGGAGGTATTTCCTGATCCCATAGTCTCTCCATTAATACTGTTCTGCTGGGCCCGTGAGAAGGAGGTGGCTTACCCACCTTCATGGCAAACATGTCCTTTTACTACATTGACCCCATGCTTGAAAGATCTCTGCTGATACTGATGTTTTTCTTCTTGGCAGAAAATCAACACTTTTAACCAGGACATCACTGCCATAGTACAAGGGGAGGAAAATGTGGAGGAGGGAGAATGTTGCCTGTTCACCAGGATCCTAGATGAGTTCTTATTGTGGAGTAAGGAGATAGAAAATATTTCCCAAAACAGTGAGTATCTTGTTCAATCTGGGTTGCCATCCTTAACAATCTTACACTCCATTGTTATAGACAATAGACCATCACTCACAGTTCTGGTTCCTTAGGAGGTCCTAGGTCAAGGCACCAGATGTGACTAGTGAGGTCTCCATCTCTGCTCCCAAGATGATATCTATCCTGATCCTCATGTGTGGAGGATGAGAGACAGTTTTCTCTGGCATCTGTTATGAGGACACACATACCCTCTGTGAGGATGGAACTCTCATGTCCTACTAACTTCTTAAATGCCAACCTTTCAGTGCCATTACACTAGGAATGAAGTTCAACTTACAAAATTCAGTAAGACACCAGATAGGGAACTGTCAACAACTTACAAAATTCAGTAAGACACCAGATAGGGAACTGTCAACAAATCAAAGTACAGGTGCTAGCCAAGATCAAGTTGGTGAACTAATGAGTTTTCTTGGGTTGATTTTCAGGAATACGGGTGAGGAGTTACTTACAGGCATAGAAATGACTCAAAGACAGCTGTAATCTCAGAGCCCACTCCAGCATGGGTGATGGTTCATGAAATCTGGAGCACAGGGCACAGACTATAGGCAGCCTAACAGGTTAGCGAGGAAGTTCAGGGTTGTTCAATTGGTCTGAGCCTCTGCCAGGCAGCTTAACTAGTCTCTGCTTCTTCCAGGCAGCTCAGCCTCTCTGAGAGTGAGTCTCAGAAGTCCCTATTGTTTATAGACACTTGAGGAGAAGGCTTGGTGAATCTAGTCAGTTTCAGGGACTTTCTGAAGTCGCTGAGTTGTTGACTTCCTGAGTTTAAGGAGCTTCCCAGGAGGATGTAGTTGTTTTCACCTCCTTTCTAACTTCCTGTGCCTTCAGGAGCATCCCTCAAAATGGAAAGTTTTAATCTTAGATGAAACTGCTGCCTGTCCAGGGACTTAATCCTGGGTCATCTTACTGTGTTTCTTTATGGCAATGAGAAGATTATACAAGTGCAGGCAGCACCCCACCTCATCTTCATAGCTTCAAAATCTGAAGCAGGGAGAAAGTACTCTAAATCTGTTCTTTGATCACATCTGTGCTGAGAAAGCTGCCATGGTGGAGGGGAATTTCAAGAGACTTTGCCTTCCCTAAAGGGCCTTGATGAAAACATAGAATTGGTTTGAACCAACCAGAGGTTTTGACAAACAGCTTCCCTTGGCTGTGAGTGACAGATGTACAAAGTGGAGTGTTCTATCTCCTGCAGGCTACATGAAGAATCCGTTAGCCACTAATGGAGCGTATGTCAGGTGGTCAAGTTGGGTAGCAATGTGCCTTTGTAGAGACCCTTATGAGACACTTACTTAAGGCTGTGACTCCCCATGTCCCCACAGTGCCCACCACTTCTGCCTTACTCACCACTACTAAGTCCAGACTGCTGAAGCTGACACTATAAGCCCTGCAGTGTGTCCTCACTCCAGGGTAGAGTCAATGTCCTGTTTCAAAACTTAGAAGTGCCTGCCATTATATCTGATAGAGGGGGCCAAGAGACCAGAATAAGACGCAGCTTTACAAATCCAAGGTACAACAACTGGATCTAATTAGAAAACGGTGAAAACACTATAAAGATGTTTTTCTAAAAAGAAGATATACAAATGACTAACAGGGGTTGGGGACTTAGCTCAGTGGTGGAGCGCTTGCATAGCAAGCACAAGGCCCTGGCTGGGTTCGGTTCTCAGCTCTGAAAAAAAAAAAGACCAACAAAACACTCAAAGTCTGCATGGCCTGTGGGCATCAGAAATGCAAATGAAAACACAGGGATAATTCCTGTCCCAGACCCTAGGGAAGTTAGAATCAGAAAGGCAGACACTGGCAGGTGCTGGAGAAGAGGCAGGAGGAAGGAACCCATGGTCACTGCTAGGGAACATGAAATGGTACAGCTGCTGTGGGTTACAGCAGTGAGCCCTCAGAGAGGCAAATACAGGATGCCCACTTCCACTCCTTTTCTTCTACAATAATAAAACAGTCAAACGTGCAAGTCCTCTTACCCTGAACCTGGCATCACCTCCCCATGTCTTCACAAGTCCTCTACTCTGGATATTTATGTGTCCTTGTCAGCCCCTGTAAGGACACAAGATACAGTGGATTAGAGACCACCCTAAGAGACTCCTTTCTACTTAGTAATCTTTTAAAAACCTCATCTGCAAATAGTCCCCTCCTGAGGTTCTGGGTGGTTAGGACCACAGCACAAGCATTATCAGGGAAGCAATTCAGCTCTTAGCATCTCTCAATGCAGTATTTTAACCCAAGAAAGGCACAGAAGAAATGTAGATACAAGGTACAAGGCTGGTGAGCCTTGATGACAGGATACTGAGTGAAAGCCAGCAGGTCAGTCACAGTGGCCTGTAGTATGTGATTCCATTTCAGAAACACCCAGAGTACATACATGGTGTGGACAGAGCAGAGCAGGGGCTGCAGGGTTGGAGAGAGGGCAGAAAGGGAGGCACTGACTGCTGGTGAGAGCAGCAGATCCTGGAGGTGACAGAAACTTCACTGAATCAAGGGTTAAACTGTGGA